ACGTGGATGCCCGGCCGCTAAGCCACTGGAGCAGGGGGCCAGATCCAGGGGTTCCAGGGACCTACCCACTGTACGACGTGCCTGATGTGCCTACCTTGCCTACCTGAGGTACCTAGGACCACCACTGAGAGACCTGCCGCATGTGGATAGGCCCTACAGGCTCTGCTAGTGTGGCAGAGTCGGCGTGGTGGCGGCGGGTCAAGTTCAGTTCAGGCATGCCGCCGGCCGGCCGGTCTGACGGGCACAGTAGCGCAACAGGCTTGGCGTGGCCGAGTACCGTGCCGCGGCACCGTTTCTGTTTCTGTTTCTGTCGATACTGCCATGTCACTCTCACCTGGGGGGGCATTGGGCGTCGTCGTTGACCATGAGGTGGTGCTCTCTCGTCGTATCCAACGACAAGAGGGCCGGCCAAGCAATACCGCCCCCGCGCCCCCCGCCCCCCAATGGTTTCGTCATTGATCTCATCCATCTGAATCAATTCGTATCTGCATCATGTTGCATCACTGGATTGGACCATGCTGCAGGTGCATGCACAGTAAGGTACTGTAAGGTCGGTAGGTACCTGCGCATTTGCAGTCGGGCGCTCACCGTCGCATTGAACCCGGATCGAGGGGTTGGGATTGGGAAGGTGGGTTGGGGGCGGGGCATGGGGAGGCAGGCAGGTGTAAGGGGAGACGGAAGCAGCTGTACTGTATTTGGGGCAGGGCAGGTGTAGGCGAGACAGAAGCAGGTGTATTTGGGGCAGGGCAGTGTGGCCTGGCAGGAGACCCAGGAGACCCAGGAGACCCGTCGGCTTGGGTCCCCTCATCATTCTGCCTTGCCCTTTCCTTTCTCGTCATTGCGTCTCGACCTTGACCGTCTTTCGGCCCTGTTGTCTCGTCTCGTCCTAGATTGTCTTTTTGGCTCCTTTCTCGTCTCAAGGCATGGTCCGAGAGGGTCCTCCTCCTCCGCCGCCTCCTCCGCCGCCTCTCCTCCTCCCACCCTTCCATCCCCCCCCGACAAGACTTTTTGCGGCCTCACAGAACAAAAAACTATGCCTCCCAAGACTGCACCCTCGACGCCTTTTCTTCCTCGCCTTTGTACACCGGAGCCCCCACGAGCTGAGTGAGCCGTACCGACCAACGGCCACATCCCACCACCTATCCGTCCATCCATCCGTCCGTCCATTCTTGATCACCCTCTCCACCAGACTCATCCCCTCCTTCGATACAGGATACCCCCCTCCCCATATGACCCAGCACCCCTCGACGGCATCCGATGTGACGAGATCACACCTTGTACGACGACTTGATCTTTGAAACGTGGCCGGCTTGCTGCATCACCTCCAACAACCTCGAGCAGCCCTATACTCCGGTCTCGCCTGACTGACGAGCCCTTCCACGACGCCGACCCAGGATCTCTTGCTCTCCTCCGTTGTGCACCGTTTTTTCCCATTTCCCGCCTTACCTCGAGCGCTGCGCGAATTGTCGTCGCATCACCCGACAGTCCGCCACTCTCTGCGAGTCCACCCGGTCTGCGAGCCCACCAGTCGGCCACTTTGCACCCCTCCACCTGTCACGGCGCGCGACCACCTGCGAACCCGCATAGACCAGCGCGACACACGACGGTTCCTGGCAGTCGCCCTACTTTCCCACGCCACATTATAAAGCAACCACGCCGTGACGGCGGGAGCTGCCCACCATGGCCGCCGTCGTGTCACAATCCAAGACGGAGCCCGTCACGCCTCATGAGAAGCCGACGCGTCCGCGCGCCTCCACCTCGTCTTCTTCCCACCGCGAGCCGGGCTTTCTCTCGCGCATGAAGAGTCGCATGGCCAACGGCAAGGGCCACCACAATGCCGGTCACGGGCCCATTGCCAGCCGCGCCCAGTTGAGCTCTCACGACTTCCGCATCATCCGCACCCTCGGCACCGGCACGTTTGCTCGTGTCTGCCTCGTCAGACCCGTCAATCCGTCCGAGGAGGAGAAGAAGGAGGTCTTCGCCCTCAAAATCCTCCGCAAGACCGAGGTCATCAAGCTCAAGCAGGTCGACCACGTGCGCCACGAGCGGCACATCCTCGGCGACGTCTCCGGCCACCCCTTCATCACCAACATGATTGCCGCCTTCTCCGACGCTGACACGCTCTACATGCTGCTCGACTACGTCCCCGGCGGCGAGCTCTTCAGCTACCTGCGCAAGATGCGCCGCTTCGACGAGAGCACCGCCAAGTTCTACACGGCCGAGATTGTGCTCGTCCTCGAGTTTCTGCACGAGCAGCAGGGCCGCGTCGCCTATCGCGATCTCAAGCCCGAGAATCTGCTGCTCGACAAGAACGGCCACATCAAGCTCGTCGACTTTGGCTTCGCCAAGCGCCTCAGCAGCGAAGACGGCCAGCCAACCGAGACGTACACCCTCTGCGGCACCCCCGAGTACCTCGCACCCGAGGTGATCCATAACAAGGGCCACACGACCGCCGTCGACTGGTGGGCGCTGGGCATTCTGCTGTACGAGTTCCTCACCGGCTACCCGCCGTTTTGGCACCAGAACCCCATCGAGATTTACAAGCAGTACGTCCCCTTTCTCGATGACATGTGGCTCTGGTGTGGCTTAGCGATGGATTGAAAAAGTATGACCGACTAACGCTTGCTGCAGGATCGTCGAGAAGCCCGTCACGTTCCCGGCGGAACCGCACATTTCGGACAATGCCAAGGATCTCATCAAATCGTTCTGCACCGTCGACCGCTCCAAGCGCCTCGGCAACATGAACGGTGGCGCGCAGCGCGTCAAAGACCACCCCTTCTTCAAAGGCATCCGGTGGGATGAGCTGCTGGGACAGCGCGTGCGCGGACCCATTGTGCCGCCCGTGCGATCCTCGAGCGACTCGCAGTGCTTCGATCAGTATCCCGAGGAAGATGGCAAGCGCGAGCCGTATACGGACGAAATGGCGCGCCAGTACGACCAGTACTTTAAAGATTTTTGATCCGCCAGACATCCAGCATGGATTCGATGCGGCCTGGCCAGTTCTACGCACGCAGCGGTCCTCCTGAAGGCTCTCCCGAATACGGGGGTGGCAATGGAGAAAAACCTTATTTACGGAAGGTTTCGGTTATTCACGCGCACAGGACGACGAGGGGGGCGGCTCACGAGATGAGCGTTGTTGCTGTTGTTGTTCTTTGTCCAACCGATGCACAACCAAGCATGGTATACACAGGCTCCAGCCGCGGAAAGAAGAGAAAGTG